CTTCCTGGAGTTTGTTGAGCTTCTTGAATACTTATCATTTTGCTTTTCAGGATATTAAGGAAATTTTCTTCCAGTAGCTCTTCAACTATCTCCTCTGTGGACTTGTGGGAATTTTCCTGTTCTGGAATGCCGATAATTCTTAAGTTATTTCTCTTCATGTTGTCCAACATGAATCTTAGGCTTTCTTCAGATTTTTTTTATCCTTTTTTGTGCTTGCTTGTTCTATCTTAGTAGTGTTGAGAGATTTATCTTCTAGCTCACTAGTTCTGTCTTCATTCTCTTCCATTGTACTCTTTTGCCCTTACAGTATTTTGTACATTTCTGATTTTCTATTATTAATCGTTTTGACCTCTTTCTTTGGGGTTTGCATTGTCTCCAATGCAGTATCTAGCTTATTTGATTGTTCTTGTAGAGCTTCCTGACTTCTTCCTTATTTTTCTCAACTCCATTGTATAGTGTTTTGATACATTTTATAATCATTTTTCTGAATTCCTTCTCACACATTTCCAAAGCCTGTCCACCTTCCAGTATGGAGTGTAGGGTCTACTTCCAGCTCATTTGTCTCAGTCCCCTCCGTGCATCATCGGTTAACAGTATTTGCTTCTATTACCCCTGGTTTTTTTGTTTGTTTTTTTGATGTACACAGAAACATACAGGAATATATAATCATTTAAACAACCAAAAGGCACATTCTGCAAGCCCACCTAGACACCAGCACACAGCCTTTCTCTTTTCTTGAGTCTTTAGCTGCTCTCTCTCTCCATGCCATCACATCTGCCTCCATCTCTGGTGGTACTCTTCTCTCTTGATGGTCCTAGTATCCTCTGTTCCTGGAATTTAAGGTTAACTACTTCCCCCTTTTTGTTACACAACTTCTACTTTTCCAATTGTGAAAATCTCAATTAGTCATGATAATAGTTACTCACTATTGAATCAAGTGAATCCCATCCCCATTTGCTTTCAGCAGACTCATGAAATCTAGTGGGGATTCTACCTTCCCCTGCACACTCTGAAACTAAACTTCCTCTTGAAAACTTAAAAGACAGCCACTTTGTGCCTTTATAGTCCCCGTCCCTTCCACCACCACCCCCGCCACTCCGCCATTTTAGGTAGCCAGTGTCTGAGATGCCCATCCCTGTCAACCCTGTGTTGGGGATAGGTTTGATCTTGATGTGAAGACTCCTTCCCTCTTGATTGGTATTTTGAGCTACTACCTCCATAAGTATAGGTCAAGGTCATCAAATTGTAGCAATTTACACTTGCTTCCTTTATTAAATATCTTCCTCTAGTTGAGTTGTGATCATTAAACCAAGGGTACCATCTGTAAGTTTGGGTGTTTTTGTGAGTCTCCTCCTACTTCATATCAGTTAGAGCTTCACTCTCAGTTCTAGCCCTCCGTGGCTAGGTCAGTGTCCATTGGCTCAGGAATTCCCAAGTCTCCCTAAGCTTCGGACCAACCAGCCCTTCCTCTTTCTCTTATCTCAAGGTTAACAGGAGTCTATGGAATGTAGTCAAACTCAGCCCATAGCTTCATTGCTGCCTTTCCCCCACTTCCATTCACATGTAGACCAACATGGTCACCAGCAAGCTTACATTCTTGCTCATGTGTTCCTTTGAGTTTCAGTCTTGGAGCAGGGTTTGTCCTGAAGGGACTTGATTGCTTGCCTTGATGGCAAACAACTTGCTTGTACTTATAGTAGACAGTCATACTACCATTTTTGTTTTTTCCTGCTTGTCTTTCTTTCAAGAAATATCTTCTGTTCCTCTAGCCAACACTTGTAGCTTTAAGACTCCAGTTACTACTCACCACAGTAGGGTGAAGAACATTGTTTTTGTGAGCTCTGTTATGTCAGTTGACTTGGCTGCCCCAGAGACTATGGTCCTAAAGGCCCAAACCCAGTGACTCATTCCTACAAGATTCCTGGCTATGGTCAAGAAATTTTCGGGACTTTGCTCCATTTGCATGGATACATCGATTTTTTACAGTACATAAAGATATGTATGTAAAAGCATTCTCTACCAATCCTCCATATGTTGTTGTTTTGTTAAGTGCCATTGAGTCAGTTCCCACCCATAGCAGCACTGTATACAGTTTCCGAGGAGCAGCTGGGGAGTTTGAACCACCAACCTTACAGTTCAAATGACTTTGCAGTCTGGCGCATTAACCCACAACACCACACCAGGACTCCATATAGTCAAGATAAATTTTAAATAGCATGATTACAAAGTTTAATTGAACGTTTAAATATAATTTAACTTTATCTTGTTGTTGTTAAGTGTCATGTCAGTTTCCACTAATGGGACTAAGACTCTTAATTAACATCAAAAAAACGTGTTTTTAGGTGCTGTTGAGCTGATGATGGCTTAGAGATGAGTATGGCCATCCTTGCTTCTAAAGAACATTCTGGCTATACTTCTTCCAACACAAATGTGTTTGTACTTCTGGCAATCCTTGATACTTTCAGTATTTTTCTCCACCACCATAACTCAGATGCATCAGTTCTTCTCTGGTCTTTATTATTCATTGTTCAACTTTCACATACATTTGAGGAAATTGAAAATACCATGGTTTGGGTCAGATGCAGTCTGAGCAAATAGTCCTCAAACTGTTCTGTTTGCTCTTGAACACTTTAAAGAAGTCTTGTGCATCAGGGAGTGTACTAATAAGTTAATTAGTCATATGTCTAAGAATACTGGTCCTATTTCCTCTCATTCATATCAAATATACATTGTAAATATAGTATTGTGGTTTGGAAAGATTAAATGTTTAATGATAAAATAAATGCCGTTTTTTGGTTTTTTTAAAAGATAGAATTTAAGAAGAACAGTCCTGAAGAAAAACAATAAGGTTTCAAATCAATCCATTTCAGCTGCATAATTTTTTGTGTTGCAGTTTGGACACATCTTTTTACTCCAGATTTTTTTGCAAATTATATCTTCTATAGTTATTTGGAAAGAATGGATTAGTGTTTGACCATTAAGGATGACAATCACTGCCTTTAACATATTAGGTCTATGTTTTCAGCAATTGCCTGTGGTTACCTCCAGTACAATTGTGAGATGCCGTTCATGCAGGACATACATCAATCCTTTTGTCAGCTTTCTAGACCAAAGGAGATGGAAATGTAATTTATGTTACCGAGTCAATGATGGTATGTATTTTGAAGCATTAAAAATTTCTACTTAAATTGTAGGAAAATCAGATAATGCAAATATAAAGTAAAAAAACAAAACAGAAAATAACACACACATGCACGAAAACTAAGCACTTCTTATTTACCTGTATTCTCTCTACTAAGATAACTAAAATTTTTTCTGTGCATTTATACTTATAAATAAATAGCTTTATACTTTTTAACCAAAAAATATGGTATTACTACCTTGAAAATACTTCTTTCCATTTATTATATCAAGTATATGGTAAATGGTATATTTCATGCTGTTATTTAAGCCAATAATTTAAGAAAGAACTTTGATTTAGAAATTGTCCCATGCCTTTTCTCTAGGGTGAAAGAAAATAAGTTCACAGAATAGCTGCGTAATTCATTCATTGCTGTATGAAGGGAGGTGGGCAATGCTTAGAAGGTTAGTTGAATGTAGTTTTCTCAGTAATTGGAGAGGAAGCTATCTTTATCAATAACTTTCACAGCATAATTTACATTTGAGAAGTCTCATCTAACCAACAGGTTCCTGTTATTGTTGTTAAGTACCATGGAGTCAGTTCCAACTCATAGTGATCTTGAACAGGGTTTGTGAGCCTATAAATCTTTACGGGAGCAGAAAGCCTCATCTTTCACCTGTAGAACCTTGAGGTTAGCAGCCCAATTCGTAACCACTACACTACCAGCGCCCCTTAACAGGTTCCTATAGGATTAGAGAAAACAAGTCATGATTATATGTATGAGACTAGGTCTTTGGAAGGAATTTCATTAAGATTTGGAAAGTTGAGAAGTATTGGAATTCTGGTGTAGTGCTGTAGGATAAGCACTGTACTGCTAAGTGCAATGTTGGCAGTTCAGACTCACCAGCTGCTCCTTGGAAACCCTATTCAGGGTCACTATGAGTTGAGACCAACTCACTGGCATTTAACATGGTTTTTTTTTGTTTGTTCTTTTTTTTTAAGCAGTTTTGTTTATATGTGTGTATTTTTTGTGGTTGTTGAGAATATATACAGCCAAACATACACTAATTCAACAGTTTCAACATATCCAATTCAGTGACATGAATTATATTCTTCTAGTTGTACAACCATTTCACCATCAGAACCTGTCATATAATAAGTCAGTATCATTGTGCAGTTGTGAAATTTAAGACAATGTTTAGTCTTGCATTTAAAAAAATAATTTGTACTTAATAAGGTTTGTCATCATTTTAAGCTATTTTAGGAAAGCAGCTTTAGCAGGAATTAAAGAGGATACCAGGAGATAGAAAAAGAACAATTATAGTGATTATAAAAGCAAGTCATATTTAGTTTTACAATTAGTATGTAGAAAACTTGAATTATATATAAATCCTTTCATTAAGGATGTACCAGATACAGTGTATATTAAATGTAATTTCATCAGTTTTATCATTATCTATTGTTAATTTTACATAGTTCCTGAAGAGTTTATGTACAACCCTTTGACCCGAGTTTATGGAGAACCTCACAGAAGACCTGAAGTTCAGAATGCTACTATTGAGTTTATGGCTCCTTCTGAATACATGGTACCCTTTCCTTTTTGAAAACAGTGCAATGCTCATTTCATAATGCTGAATTTTAAATATAACAATATGTCATATAACAATATTTTATGTTTTTATAAAAGTAGATAATTCATGTCTTGGCTTCTCTGTTTTGAGGGGACAGGTTCTATAAATTCAGCATATGATACATTAAAATATAGATAAAAGTAGACTATATGCCTAATTCTGATTTTGTATATTTAGTACTTGTAATGGAATTGAAAGCAAATATTTGAATTTAGAAGTTTAAAATATAGAGTATCACATTTTTATAGAATCTTACTAAAATATGTTGGTAAAAAACCAGTGGAGACTAACTTTGTGTGTCACTTTCAGAACTATAATTTCTTTAAATTGTGAAATATAATGCACATATCAAAAGTCCCTAAAGCATGAATGTACAGGTTATAAATAATCAATAAGGTAGATAGACACGCCTGTTAGAAGCACTCAGGTTAAGGAACTGTTGCCAGTGCTCTCAGCAATTCCTATCACACTCTCATTCCTGCCCTAGAGAAAACACTCTTCTGATTTCATGGCAATCATATCCTAACTATTAAACTCTGGATCTGTAAACAATAGAGTATAGTTTTGCCTGTTGTAAAATTCTGTTCTTTCTGTGTTCTATATTCATTATTGATTATTAAAGTCTTTCTCTCAATCTGAAATAATGCTTATTTCACTATTTTGCTATATTTGACCACAATATCTTGATTATAAGGCAAAGATAAGTATAGATTTAATCCTGTCAAATATATTTAATCAGATCCTTTTTGTTTTCTTCAGTTACGACCACCTCAACCTCCAGTGTACCTCTTTGTTTTTGATGTGTCTCACAATGCAATTGAAACTGGATACTTGAATTCAGTTTGCCAGAGTTTGTTAGACAATCTGGATTTGTAAGTATCTTAATTCACCTTAAATCTGAAATTAATTGTGTTTGTAAAATGAATAAGTAGTTTCAAAATGCAAAAATAGTTGGGTGATTTTTACCCCCTAAATTTCATTTGCATTTTTGTTGAGAATATACACAGAAAAATTAAATTAAAAAAAAATGTTTTAAATCACTTGTTAAATTAGGTCTTTTCCATTAGAAGTATTTATTTTGACTTTTTTATAAAAATTAACTATTATGGAAAACTATTCAAACATATGAAGGGACATAAAATTTTTAGACATAAGCTTTATTGCTCAACATATGCTCCCTCAAGGTAAAGACAATTTTGTAAGTGGTCATACCAGCCATTTAGTCCATCCCTAAAGAACTGGGAGTTCTGGGAATTTAGCCATGTCTGTACAATCTTTTTCACTTCATTAGTTGAAGTGATTTGTTTTAAGATTAGGAAACAAAAGAAGTTAAAAGGAGCCAAATCAGGACTGTAAAATGGATGCCTAATGATTTCCCATTGAAATTCTTCTTTGATGAGAAGTATACACAGGAACCATTGTTGTGGTATAGATGGATTCTCTGGTGAAGCTTTCCCAGGCATTTTTCTGCTAAATATGTAGATAACTTTCTCCAAACACTCATAATAAGCAAATGTTATTGTTCTTTGCCCCTCAAAAAGTGAACAATCAAAATGCCTTCGTGATGGTGATGGTTGTTTGCTGTGGAGTCACTTCTGATTCTCAGTGACCCGGGAGCTCCTTTACAAGTTTCTACGAGATTATTTTAGTGCAAAAAAAAAATTTTTTTTAGAATTAGATCCAAAGCTTTTTTTTTTTTTTTTTGATCCAAAGCTGCTTCTTTTTTTAAAATTTTTTTATTTGTGACCGATCTAGTGTTGTGGTTTTTTTTTAAGTGTCTTATTGTGAATTATATGATAGTTTACATGGGAGAACATTAGTTTTACATTCATTCTATCGTACATTGTATCATTGCCATGGTCACAGTCCCCTCCATGCATCATCAACCAATCAAAGGGCATACCCTGCAAGTCTGCCCCCTACACTATCCCCCCCACCTCCAGTCTTCAGCACACAGTCGCTCTCCCTCTCTGGATTTAAGGTCCCCAGCTGCTCCATAGCTCCGTGTCATTGTCTCTGCCTCCATTTCAGGCATCACTACTTCTCTGGGTAGGGTCCCGCTCTGTCCGTTGATGGTCCTAGGGACCTCCGCTCCTAGACTGAAAAGTTATTCCCTCCCTTGCTTGGTATAAAATGTCTACATGTACATTTCCAACCTTCACAATCAGTCCTGATAACAATTATTCACTATTGTATCACAAGAG